ACACACACACACACACACACACACACACACACACACACACGGCACCGGGGATCAGTTGGGGGTTCGGTTCTTGGTCAAGAGTCTCTCCTCAGTCGTGGTGTTGAAGGTAGAAGAGAGCGCTGGTCATTCACTCCCCCCACCGACAATTCCTGCCGGACCTGAGACTCAAACCCACGACCTTTGGGTTACAAATCCGACTCTTTAACCATTAAGCCACGACTGCCCCGCAAATATTAACAGCATCATAAAGAAATGTGTGAGCTGGAGACTGACACTCACCTAAAATCCCCCACTGAACTTGTGTAGTTTGTTCAGTGTTAATAAAGTGACTCGGCGTCTGTTTCGCGTCTCCATTCATGTCTGCAGTGAGGTCGGACTCTTGGCACATTGTGTTGATCTGTGTTTGTAAGAATGGAAACAAAATGGATTTTCATGTTGATGTAATTAGTATGAATAATTTATGAACTATGGATTGGTCAGTCAAAAGAGGTCAAAAGATGTCAAAAGAGGTTTCAGTGTTTTCCTATCATTGACAGTAGCAGCACTGCCACCCATAGGGCTGCGATCATCAGTAACTGACTGTGCTGAGCTGAGCTGCATGACGTACGTCCGGCTCAGTACTGTCCGCTTATATGTGCTCACAATGTGCCTTTGTTGTGTTTGTGTAGTTCTGTTGATAAAGCTTTATTGTGAAGGTGAAGGAAAAATGTATCTGTTTTTAATGCATTGTTGTTGTGCAAAAAGCACCCTAATAGTTACAGTAAAAGCACAGAGAGAGTATTTATAAATTGAATTCATATGTGACATGACATTTAACAAAAGTAAAGTCATTGCAATTGTTGTAAGATAGAATTTCAGAATACATGAAACTAACAGCTGATAATAAAACACAGGGAAACCAGGGCTTAAATACACGAGCGATAACAAGGAAACAAGGGACACCTGGAGACAATCAAGGGCAACGAATTAGAAAAGAAACTACAAAATTACTACAAACTGCACAGCAGACTCAGGAGACAAGAACTACAGCAGTCCAAACGTAAATGGCTAAATCAGGAGCATGGCCCTGTTGGAAAAACAGCATATGCTGGTTAGGGATGTTTTGAAGCATGCCAGCTGGTTATGAGCTGGTTTACACTGGTCCTAAGCAACTAGCTCCTGCTCATAACCAGCTGGCATGCTTCAAAACATCCCTAAACAGCATGTGCTCTTTTTCCAACAGGGATGACGGTCATCAGCGAATGAAACACTGTTAAAGGGATAGTTCACCCATACATGAAGAATCATTTTCTAGAGTTGCTCCAAACCTGTATAATGTTTCTGTTTCTGTTGAACACAAAAGATATTTTGAAGAATGTGTGTAACCAAACAATTACTGGTTCCCACTGACTTCCATTTTGAGTTGATCAGCATTGGTTAACAACCCTGAAAGCTACCAGCAGTCGTGCCTGTGGATAATGCACACTTTCTGTTTTCGATAACAAATGCTGTTTTGCACATGTGTGTGCTGATGTGAGTGTGTTGTGTTTGTGTGTGCAGCCGGCGGCAGGTTGCCGGAGTGTGCGGGCTGCAGACAGCGCATCTGTGATGAGCAGTACCTACAGGCCCTGGACACGGACTGGCACACGCTGTGCTTCAGGTAAGAGCTGCGCTGCGTCTGGAGGAGCGATCCGTCAGCGTGACAGGACACTGTTGTTCTGAATCTGAGTTTGCATATCACCAAAGCTGTTTGCATTGCTTCCTCTCAGTAGGCTGCTGCTACACAATCTACACGACTACGACAAGACTTTTTCTTTTACCCGAGATGTGAATTTAGAGTTCAAATGATCAGATAAAAAAAACTCTGTACCACAAAGTAATGTTAAAATCTTCTTTGTATTGAGTTGTCCCGATACACAGAAGCTGCCATACAGTGCAGTCCGACTGACCAACACATGACTCTAATGAGACGCTTGTCACTGACGCCGTCAGAGCAGAACTCAAAAAAGAGAAAGTCCAGAGAAATGTTGATTATAAATGCCATTCAATAGGGAAAAAAATCATTTGACACCATGTTTATCAATAAAATTATTTTATTAAGTTAATTATTAAATTATTACAAAATAACTAAATAGAAATTGGTTAATTTTAATAACCCGAATGTTTGTGTGCTTATTAGAGTTATTTATTTATTTATTTATTTTTCTTCACTCACTATGTAGGCAGCACACGGCGATTTGAAACAGCACTAGTGTGTTCTTTTGCTCTGCTTGTGTATTTTATTAAACCTTAAAAAAACCTAAAAAGGCAAACTAGTGCTGAGCGACTCATTTCTTGCCCTAGCAGAGGGAGTAAGACGCTTACAGGACAGATAAGCGGCCTTTGTTTGGGCTTTTTCTTTATAATTGCTCCTTTCCCAATAATCCATCAGGCCGTTGTTTGGTCAGCTGTTCGTCTGTGCCGACGGCGAGAATCACATGATTCAGCACATGATAGCGATCGGTTCCTTCTACCAATCACTGGAAGCTGTTTGTGTCACATGATCCCAGGTGTGTGGAGGCCTCTATCTGAGCGCAGAGACTCTTCACAACGTTCTGCTGTGCTCATGTGTCAATCACAGTCATGAGGCTTGTCGAAGCCAAACACCTACACAATTGCGAAACGCACACACAACCCACTCACATGTACACAATCCCATCTCAAATCAAGCTGCTGATCCAGTCAGTTAAAAGAATGAGTTCTATTCTTTATTCTAATATTTGACTAGTGGCTATAACAGGAACAGTCATGCTAGCTGCTGTCTGATTCGCTGGCTTTAAGCAATATCTGCACAGGATTTCAGAAGTTTGTTGGGAAACTGTGTTTTCAGGGTACCAGGCTCATACTATATATATTATTTTGTTGTAATTATGCATGATGGTAGTATTTTTTTTAATAAAAATAATTACATAAAATTTGTTATTTATTAATGCTATTAAATAGTACATTAAAACATTAGCGTGTATTCTTCAAATATTGTTCAATTATGCAAACATTGCATTAAAAAGATTAATTGAAAGTAATAAAATAACAAAGTAACATTACACAGAATAAGTGGCAGGTCTGTTGCACTTTGCAAGACTTAATGCACAGATCTATTTTGCAGCATGAAAAATTAAACTTTTATTTAAATTATGAATGGCTTATACACAGAAATCAAGCAAAAAAACGCTTGATAATCAATGAAGCTGATATAACTCAGAGGTAGATGAAGTACACAAATCAAGTACTTGAGTAAAAGTACAGATACCCTAATAAATATTACTCCAGTAATAGTATTAAGTACTACTAACAGCTGCAATCTGCTCAATCCAGTTTGTGAATGAATCGTTCAGTGCGATTTGTGAAATGATTTAACAGGCTCATTGAAAATAATCAGTTTGTTCATGAATCGGACAGCGCTATCACATCTCGTGTGTGACGATTTCTCAACAAATAACATTGTTTTTATGAAATGTAGTGGAGTAAAAGTAAAAGTTTCCCAAAATAAAAATACTTCAGTAAAGTACAGATGCTTTGAAAATTGTACTTAAGCACAGTAATGAAGTAAAAATACCACTGATATCACTTCAGCTCACCGACTGTCTGAAAACTTCCATTATAATCAAAAATCTGTCTATGCTGCTTTATTAATCTCATATTTACATTGTGTTTAAACTGAAACGATCTGCGAGCACAGAGCTGATGCTGAACAAACTCAGTGTATTGAGTGGATTCTGACCTAAACGCTTCTGACTGGTAATTGCATTCACGTGCTCAACAAACATGTCTGTGATTGGACGCTGCAGAAACGCGGTGTAAATAGAAACCATTGATGCTCTTCACACAAATACACACGGGAGCGTTTGAAAGCAGCTGCTTATCAACGGGTAACGGGTTATGTTTTTAATATTTAAGTATCGACTTGGTACCGAAGTACTGGTGCTTTTGAAATCAGTCATTTGGATTAAAAACTGATGAAGTGTTTTCCAGCCGTTTATGAAGAGTACTGGTCATGTTTGTCTGGATCCGAGCTCAAGCAGACAGTCAGAGTCCATGTGTGAAATGCCTCGCCGCGTCATCTCTTCCCTGACAACAGCGGCTTTGCTCTTGTTTTCTGGTGTGTCGTATTGCAGTCGGTCACTGAGTCACAAAGCTTTAACCAAATGCAGAAGCTGAACTTCCCTATAGTACTGAAACAGAGATCTGCAGACCTCGTCCTCATGTGGGATTTTCCATCACGTCTGTCATTGTCCAAGCACACTTTAATCCAGCGGATGGAGGATCAGTTCTTATTTGCTTCCTCAGAACAGTCCAGATCCGCTTAGGTACCCATGACTGAGCGAATGGCCGGATCTGTTTGTGATTGCCAAAGACTCGTGCAATCACGATGTGAGCGTTAGGCTGTCTAATCATCAGCTCTGATCACGAGGGAATAATTGCATCAATGTGAGGTGATTAGCTGCGTTGTGTTTCATATGAGGCGATTTTTGCGGTCTGCATGCAGCCTGTGTCAGCTGAGAGACCTGCGCAAATTACCCAGAGTTTTGGGTTTTACACTTTCATTTGCTCTTTTGATTTCATTCTGTCAGAGTCTTGCAAATTCCAAATGTTTGAGGCAAATATCTGATGCAAACAGCAGTTAAAGACATCAGCGTACTTGACAAAGTTTAATAAAGCATCACACAAAAATGTGCTGAATGCTTTAAATATATTTGTGTGAATTTGCCTGACTCTGTGCACTTGTGTTATGATCCTTATTATTGCACCAAGCAGGATTTGTTCCTGGATCAAAGTCCGTGTTGGTCAAGAACTTTGTTCATCACCAGGTTTAGTGAGAGTTAAGGCTGGAGGCTTGTATAATATTTTTGGTGACTTTTGTCCTCCCTGTGATTTTAGGGATTGTTGATATTAGGGTTGGGGATTTCATTAACATCATGACGACTCACTCATGTGACTGTCAGCTAAATGTGGATTCACAACACAACTCCACTATCAGGAACAAAGCTTCTTAGTCCTGGAAAAACATTCCTGTTTGTCAGGTTTTAGGGATGGATTTGAGGGCTTGAACAGCATCCCTGAGGATGTGCCATTTCCCTCAGATTGATGAGGTAAGGTGGTTAGTGGTTAGGGGTTGGTTAAGCAATATAAGTTATAGAGAACATGAATGTTGTCCCAGGACCAATAAAACAGTTTAGATCCAGAGACACTGGCACGTCAGCAAAAGCATTTCCATTGGGTTTGGAAATTGGCACGATAGTGAACCGAGTCTGAGCTGCCGAGACGGAGGACACTTGGCACGGACATCAGGTCCGAGGGAAAGAGAGGACTGTGGGTTTCTGGAGATCTGTGGCCTCAGCTGTGAGCAGAGAGAGGCGGAGGTTGAGTAAAGAGGTCACTCCGTCCCCATCTGTGAGCCAAACCTCGACTAGGTGCATTTAAATACAGGAAATATATGCAAAAAATGGATTTAGTCAATTTTTTCGCTTTGCTGTTTCAGTTCTCACTTTAAATATCAGTTCAGTTTTTTTTCTCTGAGGTATAGTTCTGGTGGGATTGTAAGTCATGGAAGGGGTTGAAGGCTGTCGTTGCATACTAAAGCAATGTGAATGGTTCCAGAATTCATCATCCACTGCCTTCCAGACAGACACGAGTGACAATGAATGAAGAACGCTGATGGAAAACAGCTTAGCGCCCTGGTTTATTTGGAGGGCTGTAAGTTGTCCCTTGGGTGGGAAAACACAGTTTTCCTTGGAAGACATAAACAGAGCTTTAATTTCATGGGAAAATAGCTCTGATGCAGAATGCTGTGTTCCCCAACTCTCAGCAGGGGCCGAAATCACTCGACTTCACATGAGAAACTAGTCAGAGCTAATGAAGAAAAAGTGGGCATTCATAGCGTGGTTTAATACAGCATCCATCGTGCTGAAGACATCAGATGAGAGATATAATAAAAGCTTTCTGAGTAGTTATTAGAGTGACTTTATATAGGAGATTATTGATGGGATATTGGGTGGCTGATCGATGCGGCTCGGCTGCCAGCTGATATTCAGGATTGGAGTTCTAACCCTAGAATGAGCAATAATAATGATGATGCTGGACTTAGCCAACACCAGTAATGCAATCTTATAGCTGGCTTTATTAGAGCGTCTGTTCCACACACACTAACAGCCCAGACCAGTTCATTATTCCCAGCATTAACCTCTCACCTTAAATCAGCTCCACATGTTGTAGTCGCTAAACGCATTACAGCTAGAATACTTCCAGTGTTTTCCAATGACATAATGATCTTTCTGACAGCGGCGTTCCCCTCGGAGCCCTGCTTCCTCCTGAGCTTTCTTTCTTACTTTCAGGGAGTTTTTCTTTGCCGTCGTCGCCTTGTTTTTGTTCCCAAAAGGGTTTCAGCCCAAATCTGCTCTGAAATGCTGCTCTGTGGTAATTGCCATAGTTAAAAACAGCAGCATGTAAATTGATTGATTTTCCATCCGTGCTGCTGGGAAAGTGCAGTGAGAATCTCAGGGACCCCGGTAGAGTCGATCCATCAGTCATATGGAGATGTTTCTCAGTGTATCATCATCACAGGAGGTGAGGCCTCAGCGCTAGAAATAAAGCATCAGGATTGAAACCCTAAAGCCATCATAG